GCCGATGCAGGGGACACGGGTTCGTGCCCTGGTCTGGGAAGATCCCACATGCCGCGGAGCGGCTGGGCCCGTGAGCCATGGCCGCTGAGCACATCTGGAGCCTGTGCTCCGCAACAAGAGAGGCCACAACAGTGAGAGGCCCGTGTACCACAAAAAAAAACAAAAAACAAAAAACAGAAAAAAAAAAAGTGCTATGCAGGGAACTATACTCAATATCTTGTAATAACCTATAATAGAAAAGAATCTGAAAAGGAATATATGTATACATTGGGTTGGCCAAAAAATTTGTTTGGGTTTTTCGTAAGATCTTGTGGAAAAACCCAAACAAACTTTTTGGCTAACCCTATATATATATATATATCTGTATAACTGACCAATTTTGCTATACACCTGAAACTAACACAACATTGTAAATCAATTATATCTCAATGACTGTATATATATATATATATATATATATATATGTATATATATATATGGTGCTATGAAGAAAGCAAAGCAGGGAGAGAGTGACTGGGGAACTGGGAGAGGCAGTATTTTACATGGAATGGTGGTCAGGAAAGGGCTCTCTGTGGAAGGGTGACTTTCACATGGAGCCATGAAAACGGAGGAGCTCTAGGGGTGGACTTCCTGGCAAAGGCCCTGTGATAGAAGGGATACACCTGTTCCAGCAGCCGGAGTGATAGGGGCAAGTGGGGAGGGGAGCATGGACCAGAGCGTGCCGGGGTTGGAGTCACTCTGATGGCACCCGAGAGAGGGCTTCATGCAGAACAGTGTCCTGAACTGATTCCTACCTTAAAACCTCCCTCTGCATAACTATCATCAAAAAGAATACAAAAAACAAATGTTGGCAGGGATATGAAGAAAAGGGAACCCTTCTGCACTGTTGGTGGGAATGTAAATTGGTGCAGCCACTGTGGAAAATAGTATGGATGTTTCTCAAAAACTAAAAATAGAACTACCATATGACCCAGCGATTCCACTCCTGGGTATATTTTGTAAAAAAAAAAAAAAAAAAGTACTAATTTGAAAAGATATATGCACCCCAGTGTTCACAGCAGCATTATTTACAATAGCCAAGATATGGAAGCAACCTGTGTGTCCATCAACAGATAAATGGATAAAGAAGATGTGATACACACACACACACACACACACACATACACACACACACACACACACAATGGAATACTACTCAGCCTTAAAAAGAATGAAATTTTACCATTTGCAACACCATGGATGGATCTGGAGGGTATTATGCTCAGTGAAGTAAGCCAGAAAGAGAAAGACAAACACAAATCACTTATATGTAGAATCTAAAAAGTACAACAAACTAGTGAGTATAACGAAAAAGAAGCAGACTCGCAGATACAGAGAACAAACCAGTAGTTACCAGAGGGGAGAGGGAAGGGGGAAGGGCAAGATAGGAGGAGAGGATTAAGAGGTACAAACTGTTAGTCATAAAATAAGCTACAAGGATATACTGTACGCCATGAGGAATACAGCAAATATTTTGTAGTACTATAAATGGAGTATAACTTTTTTGTACAAGTTTTGTGTGTGTGTGTGTGTGTGCGGTATGCGGGCCTCACACTGTTGTGGCCTCTCCCGTTCCGGAGCACGGGCTCCAGACTCGCAGGCTCAGCGGCCATGGCTCACGGGCCCAGCCGCGCCGCGGCATGTGGGATCTTCCCAGACCGGGGCTCGAACCCGTGTCCCCTGCATCGGCAGGCGGACTCTCAACCACTGCGCCACCAGAGAAGCCCCCTGGAGTATAACTTTTAAAAACTGTGAATCACTGCATTGTATACCTGTAATTTATATAATATTATACACCAACTATACTTCGATTTTTAAAAAACCTTTAAAGATTAAAAATAACATTTAATTGCTTTTCAGTACCAAAATGAATTTCAAACCATAAATAAAGCCCATCAAGAAGCAGAAAGAAAATCCCTGTGCTGCTCTAGAGAGGAAGTAAGCTGGAAGCCCGTGGGAGGCTTCCAGCTTCCAGTATGGAAGCCTGTGGGAGGCTTCCAGCTTCCAGTATGGAAGTGGTCCGATACTGGGTTTATTTTGAAGACAGAGTCAACAGGATCGCTGATGGACTAATTTGGGGGTGAGGTAAAGAGGATTTTGGCCTGAGTGTGCCATAGAGATGGAGATGAAGAGCTGTAGACATGGTTGGGGGGGGTGGACAGGACCCATGTTTGAGGGGGAAAATCAAGAGTCTGATGTTCAGCTAAACATGTCAATTTGGGTGTTGTCAGCAAAAAGACACAGCTCCCCTCTGCTCTGCTGTGCCCATCTCCTGTCCTCACCAGTGCCCTGAGGGACCCTCACCCACTGCTGATGAAATTGCCCAGCATCACTTTGTTATAAAGCAGAAACTAACACACAATTGTAAAGCAATTATACTCCAATAAAGGTGTTTAAAAAAAGAAAGAAAAAAAAGAAAGAAATTGCCCACCATGAAAGTGCCTCAGAGTGGCCATTTCTGGGTTCACAGGGGAGGGATGCCTCTCCCCCGAGTCCCGCACAGGTTTGTCACCTGACCCCCTAAGCAGATAAGTGGGGCCCCAAGTCCCAGAGGGTTGCTCTTGAAAATAAGTCCATTAATTCTTCCTTGAGCCCTCTCTTCAGCGGAACTCAAACCTAGGCCAGTGGGAGGGACGGGAGAGGATATGCTATCTCCTCCATCCCCTTTCCCCCGGATGTCATGTCGGCTACCCCTGTTTCCAAACACACAATGAAAGGCCATCCTCTATGGAAGCCCGTGCATTTAGATACTCAGCGTGGTCCAGCCTATCACTTCCCCTGTGGGGCTTCTGTTAACACAACCTACCTTATAATAAGCAAATTGTTCCTGTACTCCTAAATTAATATTTGTTTAATGCAATTCCAATCAACATTCTAACAGAATTTTATTTTGCAGATGATTCTGATTCATGAGAACTGATTTACATTAACAGGTGATCAGAATAACCCAGAATTATTTGGCAAAAGAAAAATGATAAAGAGAAACTCACTCTACCAGATGTTAAAACATGCTCTAATCTACAAAAAAACATTTAAGTGAAGCCTAAGTGTAAGGCTCAAGAGCTAGAGAAGAGGCACAGAACAGATAATCCAGAAACACCCTAGTATATAGAAAAATTTAATGTATGGCCAAGGTGGCTTCACAAATTAGTGAGAAATAAATAACACTATACGTGCTACTGAGATAATTGATAACTTTCAAGAAAAATGGTTAGAATTGCATCTCACAGCTTACCCCAAGATCAGTTCGGTTCAAGTCCAGACAAGTTAAATGTAAAACATAAAGCCAAAACACTCTAAGAAAACACAGAATAATAGGTCTCAGCTATCAAAGCAGGGAATCACCTTCTAAATGTAAAATCACAATGAAAGAAACCACAAGAGGAAAAGATTGATAAATGTGCCATCTAAAAATAAAAAATTTCTACCTGTAAAACATGAAAAAATACCATATGCAAAACTAAAAGGTAAATGACAGACTGCAAAATTTTTGCAACAAATATAGAAAGGTACTAATGTTTTTAATATAGAGAGAACTCATAAATTAATAATAAAACCACTGGGCATCACAATATAAAAATGACATAGGGACTTTCCTGGTGATCCAGTTGGTAAGACCCTGTGCTCCCAATGCAGGGGGCCCGGGTTCGATCCCTAGTCGGGGAACTAGATCCCGCATGCATGCTGCAACTAAGAAGTCTGCATGCCACAACTAAAGATCCCGCATGCCACAACTAAGACCCAGCACAGCCAAAATAAATAAATGATTAATTAATTTTTAAAAATAACAATAAAGTATGTTTTTTAAAATGGCATAAATCCACAATTCACAAAATAATACAAATGGCAAGTGAATCTTTGAAAACTGTTCACCCTTATTAGCAATCAAGAGAAGCACCAAAGCATATTAAAGCAGTTTTCCCATATCTAATTGGCCAGGCTTTTTAATGATAATATTTCACGTAAGCTAAGTGGTGAGTCGGGCACTCATTCACTGCCGGCGAAAAGGCCAAACGATGCAAAAACTTGGCCATATGAGTCAAGAGAATGTAAAATGTTGACCTCCTTTGACCCAGTGCTTTTACTTCAGAAATAAGGACTAAGGGTATTGACTACAATTTTGTCGAGAAGAGCCAAAAATTAGGAATAAATGTCCAACAAAAGTCCAATGGCTAATTACATCATGTATGGTATATCACTACAATGTAATGTCATGCAGCCATTTTTTAATCATGCTTTTGCCCAAAGTTTGTGCAAATGGGAAATGTTCAAGTGAAATGAAGGAACTACGATATTTGGGGCGATGTTTTTCTTTTTTATACTTTGATGCCTTTTCTGGATTTTCTATAGTGATTTTACCTCTATGATAATAAACGAAACATTCATATCCATCTTCTAACTCCTATGTAAATTCCACTTGCCAGCCCCAGGCAAGCATCTTGCTTCTGATGTACCATCCATAAAAGCGGCTTGCGAACCCAGCCAACACTTCACTGCAAGGTTCCCTCCAGCCCCCTACCCACCACTTCAGAAGATCTCAGTGCCCTTGTTGCTTTTCTGTATCCCTTGGTCTCTAAACATGAATGAGTGACCTGCATCCTCATTTGCTTGCTTTGGGCCCGTCCCCACTGCCCTTCCCAGAGAATGGAAGAGAAGAAAAATGTGATCTTTCATGTTTAGGAGTACCCACTCTCACACCATCTGTGTGCACCTGGGTACTTGCTTTGGGTGCCAGTTGGGATGGGTCATGGGAGCAACTTAGAAAGAAATGCTAGTTCCTTTTGCCCTGTGAGGAAACACTGACACTCTCTTTGTTCTCGTCCCACAGATATGATGCTGCCTCTTGTGTTTAGCCATTGGAACAGTTCCAATCTTCTGCACTGAAATCATTCTGGAAACTCAAGCACCAGACTTCAGCGTTCAAGTGAAGCCAAAGCCACTGGAGCGGGGCATAAAGCCAAAAGCCTTTTATCTTAGTAGTTCCAAAACTTTCACTGCCCCTTCCCTACCCGCCCCCATCCCCAAAATAAGCCATTGCACACAGACAGACAGCATGGCGAGCAAACGAAAATCCACAACCCCATGCATGGTTCGGACATCACAAGTAGTAGAACAAGATGTGCCCGAGGAAGGAGACAGGGCCAAAGAGAAAGGAATCGGCACGCCACAGCCGGAAGTGACCAAGGACACTTGGGCGGCAGAACCTGAAAACTCTTCCAAAGAAAATGAAGTGATAGAGGTGAAATCTACAGGGGAAAATCAATCCAAAAAACTCCAGGGTGGTTACGAATGCAAATACTGCCCCTACTCCACGCAAAACCTGAACGAGTTCACGGAGCACGTCGACACGCAGCACCCCAACGTGATTCTCAACCCGCTCTACGTGTGTGCCGAGTGTAACTTCACAACCAAAAAGTACGACTCCTTGTCCGACCACAACTCCAAGTTCCACCCCGGGGAGGCCGACTTCAAGCTGAAGCTCATCAAGCGCAATAATCAGACCGTCTTGGAACAGTCGATCGAGGCCGCCAGCCACGCCACGCCCATCACCGCCCGCGCCACGCCCATCACCGCCCGCGCCACGCCCATCACCACCCGCGGCCCCGGAAACGGGGACGATGACCCCGGGATCTCGGCGAGTAAAACCCCCATCGTGAAGCCAGGGAAACCGAAAGCCGATGCCAAGAAGGTGCCCAAGAAGCCCGAGGAGGCCGCCCCCGAGAACCACGTGGAAGGGACCACCCGCCTGGTGACAGACGCGGCTGAGATCCTCTCAAGACTCGGGGGCGTGGAGCTCCTCCAGGACACGTTAGGACACGTTATGCCTTCTGTCCAGCTCCCGCCAAATATCAACCTCGTCCCCAAGGTCCCCGTGCCGCTGAACACTACCAAATACAACTCTGCCCTGGACACCAACGCCACCATGATCAACTCCTTCAACAAGTTCCCTTACCCAACGCAGGCTGAGCTGTCCTGGCTCACAGCTGCTTCCAAACACCCAGAAGAGCACATCAGAATCTGGTTTGCCACCCAGCGCTTAAAGCATGGCATCAGCTGGTCCCCGGAGGAGGTGGAAGAGGCCCGGAAGAAGATGTTTAATGGCACCATCCAGTCAGTGCCCCCAACGATCACTGTGCTGCCCGCCCAGTTGGCCCCCACAAAGATGTCACAGCCCATACTCCAGACAGCGCTTCCGTGCCAGATCCTCGGCCAGACCAGCCTCGTGCTGACTCAGGTGACCAGCGGGCCGACGACCGTCTCTTGCTCCCCCATCACACTCGCCGTGGCCGGAGTGACCAACCACGGCCAGAAGAGACCTCTAGTGACTCCCCAAGCTGCCCCCGAGCCCAAGCGCCCACACATCGCTCAAGTGCCAGAGCCTCCGCCCAAGGTGGCCAACCCTTCGCTGACCCCGGCCAGCGACCGCAAGAAGACAAAGGAGCAGATCGCACACCTCAAGGCGAGCTTCCTCCAGAGCCAGTTCCCCGACGATGCTGAGGTCTACCGGCTCATCGAGGTGACCGGCCTCGCCAGGAGTGAGATCAAGAAGTGGTTCAGCGACCACCGGTATCGGTGTCAAAGGGGCATCGTCCACATCACCAGCGAATCCCTTGCCAAAGACCAGCTGGCCATCGCGGCTTCCCGACACGGCCGCACTCACCACGCGTACCCAGACTTTGCCCCACAGAAGTTCAAAGAGAAAAGCCAAGGTCAGGTGAAAATCCTGGAAGACAGCTTTCTGAAAAGCTCTTTCCCGACCCAAGCAGAACTGGACAGACTGAGAGTGGAGACCAAGCTGAGCAGGAGAGAGATCGACTCCTGGTTCTTGGAGAGGCGGAAGCTTCGGGACAGCATGGAACAGGCCGTCTTGGATTCCATGGGGTCCAGCAAGAAAGGCCCAGACTCGGTGGCCCCCAATGGTGCTCTGTCTCGACTCGACCAGTTCTCCAGCGCCCAGGTGCCCGGTTCTTTGCCCAGCCCTTCACCAGCAATTACAAAAAATCAAGAACAGGTTCATCTCCTGAGGAGCACGTTCGCAAGAACCCAGTGGCCAACCCCCCAGGAGTATGACCAGCTGGCGGCAAAGACCGGCCTGGTCCGAACTGAAATCGTGCGTTGGTTCAAGGAGAACAGATGCTTGCTAAAAACTGGAACCTTAAAGTGGCTGGAGCGGTACCAGCAGCGGCACGTGGCGGATGATCACGGCTACGACACCCCGCCAAGGAGGGCGGCAAGAGCTCTCATCGCCGAGAGCTCGAAGAACGGGAGCGAGGGTGGTCCGCAGTATCACAAGGATCCCAGAAAGCTCTGCAAAGAGGACTTGGAGAAGCTGGGCCCCAGGATGAAAGCAGGCGGCGAGCAAGCAAGAGACGGTTTGCCGGCAAAGCCCTCGGAGGCCACCTCGGACAGATCAGAGGGCAACAGTCGGGACGGCCAGGGCAGCGACGAGAATGAGGAATCGGGCATCGTGGATTGGGTGGAGGTGACGGTCGGAGAGGAGGACGCCGTCTCAGACAGGTCGGATAGCTGGAGTCAGACGGCGGCAGAAGGTGCGGCGGAACTGGCCGACTCAGACTCCGACAGCGTCCCTGCTGAGGCCAGCCAGGCCTAGACAGGTAACACCACCTGTCCCCCCGGGAGCCAGGGCAGGAGGCTGGGTTTCTTTCTTTCTATTGGCAGAGTCGATACAGGTGTCGGGTACAGAGATATGGACACAGATCATGGGTTCTTCTTTCAAGCTCTTTTAAGACAAAGGAAGAAGAATAGGTGTTGCTAGATTTTATGTTTTTATTTGCAAGGCAGTGCTGATAGGTGACAGCATCACTGCCTGTGGCCTTTGGGGGGTCCGTCCGTTCTAAAGTCTAGTAACAAGGTAACACAACACAAGGCCTGTTTTGTGTTCACTGGTGTAAGAAACAAACATGAAAGGATATGTCTTTTTCTTTTCTTTTCGGATTTTTTAAGGAATAAGTGTCTACGTTTACTGAATAAAAATTTGGGATTGTTTCCTTTAACCTGAAAGGTTTTGAAAGTACCTGGTATTTACCTCGCCACGGCTAAAGGAAGGTGCGCCCTGTATGTCTCATTAAGTAACCCCGCTTGTTGCCGTGCTGATGGCGTCCCCAGAGCCTCTTCAAATCTGGAAGAGACTGGTGTAAATTAGGTCTGTGGAGCCACAAAAGCCTGGGAAGGGAGGTTACCATGGTCACTAACGGCCGTGACATCCACAAAACGGGACGTGCCACCCAAGCCCTTGGTGTTTGTGCTTTACCAGAGGTCTGTGCAAATCAGGGCCTGAAGTATGGCAGCTTTCTTGATGGTATGTTTAGAAAAGGGGGTGGGGTGGGGGGGACGGTAGAGAGAGGGATACAGGAGGGAAAGGTCTACCTTGGCCAAAGCCAAAGTATTCCAAGGGCAGCTTAGAACCAGGAGGGAGATGCACGATTTACAATCTGCCCGGATTGGCTTCTCCAGAGGTCACTTAAAAGGTAATGGAAGCCCCGCGCCACCACCATGTCATCTTTAAACATAGTGAAAGGTAAAAACTTCTAGAATGATTGATAAGGTCCCCAAGGGAGCCCTGAAAATTACCATACCTTTTTATTTATGAACTCGGACAACTTTGGCCAGCCATGTCCCTCATTAATTCACTTATTCAGTAATAAAACGAGGCACCTGGCAAATAAATAAAGTCCTCTAGAAACCTTATTTATTATTTATTTTATTTTTTATATTTATATTTATATATATATATATATATATATAAATATATATTTATATATATATAAATTTATATATATTTATATATATATATAAATATATATATATATATATATATATATATATATATATATATATATATATATATATATATATATATATATATATATATATATATATATATATATATATATATATATATATATATATATATATATATATATAAATATATATTTATATTTATTATTTATTTTATTATTTATTATTATTACCTTTATTATTTTAGCCGGTTCCATCAGCTATTAAAAGAGCAATTTAGTGAGCAGCGAATCACAGAATGCCATCAAGTCTTTCTCCTCCAACTTTGCAGGAGGAAGTGGTAATGGGTTGCGGGTGAGGAAGGTGAGCTAGTGATAGGAGGGGTTAAAGGGCATTACGCATCGCACCAACCACCTGCCTCCACCCGGCTACAACAGTTTCATCCTCCCTCTGGCCATTTTCTTGCTTCTTATAAGAATCTACCAGGGACTACCCTGGCAGTCTAGTGGCTAAGACTTTGCCTTCCAATGCAGGGGGTGCAGGTTCGATCCCTGGTCGGCGAGCTGAGATCCCACGTGCCTCACTGGCCAAAAAACCAAAACATAAAACAGAAGCAATTTGTAACAAATTCAATTTAAAAAGAAAGACCCTACCAAACCAGCCCATATCCCCCTTGTTGAAATGAAGGAGCAATTTTTTGTGTGTGTGTCCAATCAGATTCTGCCTGAAAGCTCCTAGTTTGCCCCGTCTTCCATCCCAGATTTTTCTGATGCATAAACATAAGTCTATGTGATTGCTTTTTCCACCTACCACACAGTAGACAGTTGGGTTCAATTCAACTCAACAAATACGTCCTGAGCGCCTACTGTGTGCAGGTGAATGTGCTAGGCACTAGAGAGGACAGGATGAAGAAGACAGAGTCCTCCTTCACCTGGAGCTCAGTCAGACCAACAAGAAGGGAAATTGCTCTTCCTTTATCCGCCAGGATGCTCCGTGGCATGATGGAGACATGCACGCAGGAGGGGCACCCAGGCTGGGAGTCAGGGAAGGCTTCCTGGAGGAAGGGACAGTTGACTCAGGAGCTAGCCAAGTGCACAGACAAGGAAAAGAGTGTTTCAAGTGGAAGGAAGAGCCAAGCAAGGGTCCAGAGACAAGAAAAGGAATGGTGCAGCTGAGGAACCAAAAGAGGTTTGGTGTAGCCAGAAAGTTGAGTTTGGGATTCAGCAAACAATGAGAAGAGGCAAACTAAAAAAAACCTGATGGCTTTCCACAGCAGGCAAAAGTTATTCTGAACCAGTTGTGTTTGCTCAATTTGGATATAAGGATGCTAATTGTCCAGAGTGAGCTCTGGATGCACATTGCTGAGTGGGAGGTATCTAGGGATGGCAGCCCCCCAGAGGCCCCCAAGGCCACCTGTCCCCATCTTTTCTCTCCCAAACTATACCAACACCAACAGTTGACAGCGCCCATCTGAGTTGGTTGCCACTGTGCTTGACCCCCACCTGAGGCCCAAGAGAAGGAGAAGGGGGAAGAAATGCTGAAACCATAAAGAGAAGCTTTGGGAAGGGAGGGAGGGAGGGAGGGAGGAAGGGAGGAAGGAAGGAAGGAAGGAAGGATGGATGCATGCAAGGCCTCCTGAGTTCAGAGGCTGAGCTGGGCGCTGTGGCCACAGATGGTCTCATTCAATTCTCCTAGCGGCCCTGAGAGGTAAGCTTCTCTATATTTTTATAAAACCAGAAACTGAGACTCAGAAACCAAGGAACTTATCCACATTCTCCCAGCAAGCACGTCGGTTTCACCCCGGGGCCTTCATTCTTCCTACTGCCGTTTCTGCCTCTTTATTTCTGACAGAAATTCCCCATTTCTGATTGATAGCATCTCCCACCCCTGACCCGCTCCTGTGGCGGCAGATACCTAGGGTTTTTAGAGTTGACTTTTGAAGTAACATCAAATAATTCAGAGATGTAGGAACTAGTCAAGTCCCCCCACAAAACAGGAACACCCAGGAACCGCTC